AAAAAGGAGGAGATTTTCAATTAGGCTACTTTGCCTTTTTGGGCTTCTTTCTCCCCCAAAATTCCTGTATTATATGAGCATCCTCCTGCTCAGCACCATGCTGTGAGCTCAACCGCAGCATCAGACTGCGGAGACTCCCCATGGGGCGCAGGACCTTGTGCCCCAACACTGTCCCAAGTGCCGGCAGAGGACGAAGTTTTATCAGAGCCAGAAAAAGCCACCCCGGAGCCATGACATCCCAGGAGGAAGGGTGGGAGCTGACACTCCAGAGCAGCAGGGATTTGGTCGTCCCTGAAATTCCCAGCTTGGGAGCGCGGCCGTGGTGGTTTTCCGCTGCCAGAGAAGGAAATTTCTTCCAGCTAAAAAATAGCTTAAAGGGGACCCCAGCTGGTTAGAATCAACCGGCGGCTGCACAGGCAGCGCTGCTGGGAGGCGGCTGGGGAAAGGCAATGGGTTTTGGTGAGCCCTGTTGTGGGGTCCCGGCTGATGCTCCCACCGGAGGTGGAAGATTTGGTGCAGGGGCAGGTTGGAGCTGCCGCCTGCCCAAAAAATCACGGCAGCGTTGAATTGAAATGAGGCAAGGGCTGAGCCGGAGCATGTGGCCAAGGCGGCTGCGGGATGCCAGGGGGATTTTAATTATGAGGTTGGAGCAGCAGGAAGCCCATTCCAAAATTTTGGGGGGTTCTTGTGACAGTCCCAAGATGAGAAGCACACCTGCAGCCTGTCCTGCTGTGCCTCAGTTTCCCCATCACTCCTGAGCATCTTTGAGGTTCCGATGAGCACCTGAGAGGTGCTGAGCATCCCCCATTGTTCTTTCCCACCCCATTAAGGCTCAGGGGACATTTTCCCTCATGCCCCAACCCCTTCTCTCCCACCATAGCACCTCCAAAAGCAGCTGCCGGCAGGGAGCAGGGGCCTTGGTGGCCTCCCCAGGCCACCATGCCCAGGCAGAAGGATGCCACCAAGGCATGAGGGACACAGTGACCCCCATCTCCCAACAGGCCGGGGTCTGTGGGGGCCTACCCCCCCAAGGAGACAAACCAGGCAAGGTGGACTTGGGAGGAGGCAGAGATCCCAGACCCGGGTACAGAGGTGCAGCCGGATGCTGTGGGGACATGGATGCCGCGGGGACATGGATGCTGCAGGGACGTGGCACCGGCAGGGAGCCACCTCAGCGCATGAGCCCGGCTGTGGTTAATCAATGACAAAGTGAGAAATAAAGTGAAAAATGTGATTGGGGCTTGAGGGCAAAATGGGGGGTGACTGGAAGAGGGGGGTGGGGATGGAGGGCTTCACTCTGGCCCCGCTTTGCTCCTCTTCCATGGCTCAATTTTGTCCTGGTGCGGGAGCAGGGGGTCCGGCCATGGCATCCCTGTCATCCCGCAGCACCCTGGGGACCTCAGGGTGACAACTGCCCTGGCCCAGGGTGCTGTGCAGAGATTTTGGGATGATGATGATTCGGGGTGCTGCATGTGGGGACCTCGAGGCAATGGCAGGCTGGGGTGCCACGAATGTGGACCTTGGGATGACGGCTGCCCGGGCATGGGGTGCCATGTGCAGGGCCCTGGGGGTGACGGCTGCCCTGCTGCAGGGCAGGGGCTGTGGGGTGATGATGGCCCGGGGTGCCATGCACGGGGACCTGAGGGTGATG